CTTGGAGCTCGGTATGTAAACCAAGCTGTCCCCAAACTCACAGAGATCCACCTGCCTCTGCCTCCTGAGTGCTGGGATCAACGGTGAGTGTCATTGGCTGGCTTTTTGTTTGATTCTAGGTAGAACTGGACAACATTTAATTCCATAAAACAGAGCTAAGGTCTCACTGAGCCAAGCAGAAAGCTGTGGTTTTGTTTTGTTTTAGGGTTTTTGGTGGCTTTGTTTGTTTGTTTGTTTGTTTGTTTGTTTGTTTTTTCTTGAGACAGGATCTTACTTTGTATCCCTGACTGTCCTGGGATACAAATTCAGTACTATAGTCTGTCGGAACACTGTCCAAGAATGGAGTGTGTGTGAGAATTCCGAATGCTCGTGAGAAAACTCCAAGGAAACCCAGACAAGAGTTCTTATGACCTCAGGTCTTGTTTTACTGCTGCCCAGTCCTGTTCCTCCACTCCCACCAGAGACAGAGTTTCTCTGTGTAGCAACTACACCTGGTCTGTTTCCTCAAAACACAGAATCGTTTCTGGAATGTGCTCCTCCCAGTTGTAGCAGATAGGAGTGAGTTTGCTTTAGCTGTTGTTATTCAAACACTTCTATGGAAACATGTTTTTTGCCACATGAGATTTGTCCTTCATTGAACACCTTACTCACGTGATTCTTCTTTTTCTTATTTATCTATTTTTATATAAGTACACTGTAGTTGTCTTCAGACACACCAGAAGAGGGCACTGGATCCCTTTACAGATGGTGGTGAGACACCATGTGGCTCAGGACCTCTGGAAGAGCAGTCAGTGCTCTTAACCACTGAGCCGTCTCTCCAGCGCTCCTGTGACTCTTCTTAACCATCAGAGTCTAAACTGATGCTGTCAATAAAGTTGGCTATTGCATGAGACCTTAGTCCACCTCGTTTATCAACTCCGTCCTCCCGGGTCCCGCCACCTTTACAGCAGTAGTCCACACTGGCCTGACCAAGCCAGCTCAGTCAGTCAACAGGGTCTCAAGGGAGGGAGGGAAGACTGAAAAGAAACAGACATTAGACAACGTTATAACATGACTCCAGCCAGTGCTGAGGCTGAGGCGGGTTTATTTCTCTCCAGCTTGATTTTATACCATTCTAGGTACTTGCAGAGAATAGGGTCAGGTCTAGATCAAAGACAAAGTAACCAAACAAGGTAATAAAGAGATCAAGCAAGGCAATAAACAAAGCCCTGTGATCTTGATCAGTGTTTCTAGGGACTTATCAGGATGACTGAGATAAAAGGAACGCCACACATTCCTAGGTTGAGTTTCCCTTGAGCTTTGTATTCGCCCTAATGTATTTTTTTTGTTTTTTTTTTAGGGGGCGAGGGCTCGAGACAGGGTTTCTCTGTATAGCCCTGGCTGTCCTGGAACTCACTCTGTAGAGCAGGCTGGCCTCGAACTCAGAAATCTGCCTGCCTCTGCCTCCCAAGTGCTGGGATTAAAGGTATGCACCACCACTGCTGGGCCCTAATGTAAATCTTATTTGAGCCTACTACCCTGTCCTAGCCCAATGTCAAATTCTTTCCAAGTTTCTAGAAGTGGGCCCCAAAAGTTCTCCACGGTGACCCTCGGGCAATCCTCTTCTTCAGCTTCTTTTTACAATCACAGGTATGTGCCACCTTGCCTGCTAGGAGATTCTTCTTGCTCTGCATGCCTGGATGTCCTTGAACTCACTATGTAGCTTAAGATGGCTCTGGGTTCTGGAACCTCCCTGGGGAATATAGACTGGACCCCCTACCTGGCTAGAAGTTTGGTTTTTATAGAGAGAAAAGGTCTGAAGAAAGTTGAAACAAAAACAAACAGCAAGTCAAACATACCCAGGTCACTTCCTATGTCATTGTCCTGTTGGAGTTTGGGGAGTAGTAGTTTCCTTTGGACCTTATAATAACCATCTCTCATACAACTGCACACAGATTACAAATTTAAAACAGGTAGCAAATGTCCAAGGGACATTCTTTAGTATCTCAAACTTAAATAGGATAACCACTGATATTATCCTAGTCACTGTTATATTACATGATAAAGGAAACAAGCAAAGAAACACAAATATCTGTACAAACACATGGAGGTGGTGGTGGGGAGTTGTTTGTTTGCTTGGTTGCTTTGTTTTTTGAGACATGGTTTCTCTGCATAGCCCTGGCTCTTGTGGAACTCATTCTGTAGACCAGGCTTCGAACTCAGAGATCTGCCTGCCTCTGCCTCTCAAGCACTGGCATTAAAGGTGTACAGATATACATTATCACGGTCTGGGTTCCTCTTTTTTCTTTTCTTTACTTGTCTTTCCTTTCCTGTTCTGTGTGTGTGTGGTTGTGTGAGGTTATGTACTCCTACCCCATGCTTGGAGGATCATGTGGAGCAGACAAGGGTATCCAATCCCCTAGAACTGGGGTTACACAGGCTTGTGAGCTGCCATGTGTGTGCTGGGAATGGAACCTGGGTCCTCTGGAAGAGCATCCAGTGCTCTCTTGACCATTGGCCCATCTCTCCAGCCCCTCTTCCTCTTTTCTTTCTCTCTTTTTTTTTTGTTTTTTTTTTTTTTTTTTGAGACAGGGTTTCTCTGTGTAGCCCTGGCTGTCCTGGAACTCACTCTATAAACCAGGCTGGCCTCGAACTCAGAAATCCGCCTGCCTTTGCCTCCCATGTGCTGGGATTAAAGCTGTGCACCACCACTGCCCAGGACAACACACATACTCTTAAAAGATACCTCTGGACTTCATGGTGAGCTCTCTGTCTCTCTCGTTCCCTCCCTGTCTTGTTCATTCCTTTGTCTGTCTGTCTTTATCTCCCTCTCTCATGTCCCCACTCCAAGATGCCCTTTTGCTCTCCCTGTTCCCCCAGTAAACCCTGCCATAGATCTGTTCCTGGCATGATGTCTTAGCAGCACACCTTGACCCTGACCTGAGTTTGGTCCTCAGGACACTTCAAGGTGAAAGGAGAGAATCAGCCCCTCTGACATTCCCACTTGGTCTGTGGTATACACGCCAGCTCATGTACACTCACACACATTAATAAATAAATAAGGAAAAGCTGGCACAAACATGAATAAACATCTTGAATAAAATCTCCAGTTGTGGGGACTGGAGGGATGGCTTCGTGGTTAGGAACACTTATTGCTCTTGCAGAGGACCTGAGTTCAATTCTCAGCACCCACACTGGGCAGCTTACAACCCTCCCTGCCTGTAACCCCAGAACTGGGAATCTGAAACCTCCTTCTGGCCTCCTGGGCATCTGCACTCATGTGTACACACCTACTCAAAGACACGTACATATAGTGAAAATAAAATAATTCCCCAACTCCACTTCAGAAAGCTGGCTAGACCTGGAATTCTTCTCAGAGGAAGCCTGAATCCCTGTATAGCCTGAATAGAGAGAGGACCTAACACCAGAGGACCCCCTCAGAGTGATGCTCGCAGCTGCAGTGTGCAGCACTGTCCCAGTTCCCTCACGATTGGCAGGCCTGCTGTGTGTCAGGTATTATGTGTATCCTCTTACTTACAATGTTTATTCTTATGTGCAGAGGAATCATACAAAAAAAGATGATTTTCTTCACTTTTAATACATGAAGACACAGCTCTAGAAATGACAATACTTGGCCCAGGTCACAGGATAGTGGAATGGGAGTGAAGCCTGAACTAATTCCAAAGCCAATGAAATGGTTCATGTAAACATGGTCTGGGAAGGGTTCTTCCCCCACTGTTTAAAACCTTTTTGTGCTGGGAATTGAACTCAATCCCTGAGACCCCATGTTATGGGGGTACCCACCCGCAGGCTGGACCCCAGGAGCTTTAGGAATGTTTCTTTGTTTTGTTTTTTTGGGTTTTTTTGTTTTTTTGTTTTTTTGGTTTTTCAAGACAGGGTTTCTCTGTGGAGCTCTGGCTGTCCTGGAACTCACTCTGTAGACCAGGCTGGCCTCAGACTCAGAAATCCGCCTGTCTCTGCCTCCCAAGTGCTGGGATTAAAGGTGTGAGCCACCACCGCCGTCCGGCATTGAATTTTTTCTTTAACAGCAGATGGTAACTATCTTTTCTCCATTGGTTGGCGTCAAACCTGTCAAACCTCAGTCTTTTAAGACCCTATTCAAAGGAAATGAAGGAAAAGGGGAAGGGGTCCCAGATTCATTGTCTATCAAGTTCTGGGAATGTGTGTGTGTTGGGGGGGGGAGGGGTTAGAAATTGTGTACACAAAAGCTTACACCAGGTAGGGAGATTAAAAGATGTCCTTAAGAGCTGGAGAGGTGGCTCATTTAATTAGAAGCACTTAGTGTTCTTGCTTGCAGAGGATCAGGGATTTGGCACCCAGCACCTCCAAGGAGGCTCACAACTGTGGGTAACTCCAGGTCCAAAAGATCTGACTTAGTTGGGCTCCTGCATGTACTTAGTGCACATACAAACACTCGCACAAACGCAGGCGCACACACAATAAAATAACAAAAAAGACTCGCCTAAAAGTTTACAAGTTGGAGATTTATGGAATATTGGCCCTTGGCAGGTTACCTTTGATTGAGTAGCCCTGGTTGGCCCGGAACTTGTTTTGTAGACCAGGGCTAGGTATATCCACCTTGCGGCCTCTGTCTCGGAAGGGCTGGATGACTGGTGAACCAGCACGCCGGGCTCTCTCGGAGACTTCTTCATGCTCAAGATGACAGGGCAACACCTTCGTCCTACTAACCTTGGGAACCCGGAGCAGCCGCGCTCTGAGTCCCGCCCTTCCCCGCCCCACTACCGTAGGGCGCGCCCAGGGATCACCCGCAAGGGGCTGCCCGATACTGTCTTCCGGTTCAACCCCTTTTCCCGCCGGTTCCTATCTCGGTCCCGAACGATCCCTGACCCCGCCCCATTGCCACGCCCCTCCACCCTAGGTGCCTGCGCTCTTCTTTCGGCGGCGCAGGCCCCGCCCCCTCGCGGGAGGGCCTCGCGGGAGGCTCCTCCCCGTGCCGCGCAACTGACCCCGCCCAGCCCCTGTCGCACGCGACCCTGGCGGTGGCTGTAGCGACAGAGCTCGGCGCGCGGAGCTCCAGTCATGGCAGTCGCTGTTGAGGGCACCCGCAGGAAAGAGCGCATCCTCTGCCTGTTTGACGTGGACGGGACCCTCACGCCAGCTCGCCAGGTAAGGGCCCCGAGGTTCGGAAGCTCCCGCCCAGAGTCACGCCGGCATCCGTGACCCAGCGTGAAGCCGTCACCGCCATGTCATCGCAGACACCCGCGCGACCCGGTCGGAAACGTGGGGTGCAGTGGTACCAGCTCCTGTCACCGAGGAGATGGGACCCAGGCCCTCTCGGCCTTCCAGGCCTTAGCGCTCCTCGCGCGGGTTGGCATCCACGTTCCTGCCGGGAGCGCAGAACCTGGATCCAGCCTCCGGGAGGAGTGTCTATGGGCAGGAGGGCGGGTGTCCCCGGCTCCAGGCTTGCACAGCCCCAGGCTGGACTCTGGGATGCCCCCACCCCATTTCATCCCTAGGATGCACAACTAGTCAGTCCTCAAGCTAGCGTGAGAACGCGGCGTTCCAGGCAGAGCTCAGTGCGCTTCCAAGCCCACGGTCGCCCTCTACTGAGGACAAGAAAGATCTCTGAGTCTTTGCACTCTGGCGTCCACAGGCCTAAAACTGGGTTTAGCTCCTTAAGCCTCTTAAGGATGTTTACCTTGCACCTCGGGTTGGAAGGAGGGAGAGCTGCTTTTCTGGTTAAGTTTTGTTTTTTGTTGTTGGTATCCTTTTGGTACCACCCATGTGAAGGTGAAAGGCCCCAGGGCTAGTCTGTTTATAATAGAATCACTGAGGCACAGTAAAAGTGGGAGGGTATTTCTCTCCTATCTGCACTCTATGGTTCACCCTCCCATCTTTTTGCTTATACCCAGTTTTTCTCCCTTTGACTCATCCTGGGTCGTCCTTGGGACCACCAGGATGACCAGAAACAGGGGGGGATGCTACTGTGCAGAAGCCCATGTGAACCTAAGTCTTAGCTTCCTGATAGGCCTTCCCCTCTCCAGAAGGAAGCAGGTACCTTTCTTTCCAGCCAGCAGAGATGGATCAGGAAGATGCAGGATTGGAAAGAGGGTGGTCTCTTCCGAGGCATGCCTGACCCCTTGCTGCACTGACTTGGCAAGGCCTCAACAAAAACTGCCTGTCAGTTTGACTACTACTAAACCCTAGGGCTTAATGCTTCTCAAAGCTAATTGTTAATTATACATGTGTTCACAAGCACATTATTTTTGTCAATAATGAAAACTTTAAAGGCTAAAGACCACTTTGACCTCTCACCAGTATCCCAGGCCCAGCTCCCATGCTGAGGTAATATCCTTGTCTATGTAGTATGTATGGCTCCTTTTGACACCTTTATCTGGATTGCTTTGCCCACAGGAAATATTAGACATTTTGTAAGGCTATGTTACTGGCTTGGCATTATCCTGCTCGTGGCTTCCTACAACTTGTTTTAGACTATAAACAGCATGTTTTAAGGACCTTGCCTTGTTGGAAGCACAGATCCAACCTGGTAATATTTCCAAGGAAGTATGTGTCATTGTCAGGCTGATAAGTGTGGGAGTTGCTTGCAGCCAGTTTTTCACTAATTATAAACCATACCCAAAGGAGCAGAGAAGTTGAAAAGCTAGTTGACAGGGTATGGACATTGTAAGTTTCAGTAGATGTTGCCAAATACTTTCAAAACAATTGCACCAACTTACGTTTTCATGGCCAGCCCTCGGAAGTTCCTGTTTCCTTCTCCCGTTGTCTCTAGCTATGGTCTTTGCTATCTGAATATATGGAAGTTTGAACTCTGACTCACTTGTTCAAATTTCCTTGATGGGGAATCTTTTTATACTTTGGACATATTATTTCATTTAATGGTAACTGTGATCCCCTTAAAGTGGCTCCTGCTGTGGCAGCCATGTTATAAAGAGGGAGGGATGGGGATAGAAAAGCAGATCCCTTTGCTTAAGGCCTCTTGTTCAGATACCAGAGCCAGAGCTAAGCAGGTGGAGTTTGTGCAAGTGAAGAATCTTTTATTTGAAAGGTTTGCTACCAGAGATGTTTGAGGGTTTGGATATTTTTCAGGTACTGAGCACAAGAATAATGAGTCATCGAGGCGGTAGGAGCCACGTGGAAACACAGAATCCGTTTGTGTTTTAAATATAAGTGATAAACAGCCTACAGACAAGTTTTGATGCTCTCAAAATGCTTTCTGTTAGGCAGAGCTCCACTATGCATGCAGCACCCACCGTCACTGAACTAATCTGTGTTCATTCTCCCAAGTCCTAGGATTACAGGCATGCTCCACCATGTCCTACTCTTTTGTTTTGGTGTTTGTTTTACACAAGGCCTCTCCTCTCACTGTGTAGCCAGTGGGTGGCCTTGAACTCACAGAGATCTTCCTGCCTCTGTCTCATAAATTCTGGGAATAAAGGTATGGGCCACCATGCTTGGCTTTCTTTATGTGTGCTTGATCATGTAATTTCTCTGCCTGTTCTGGAACTTGTTCTCTAGACCAGGGTAGCCTCCAAATCAGAGATCCACCTGCCTCTGCCTCCCAAACGCTGGGATTAGAGGTGTGTACCACCACACTCTTGGCTTGCTGTGGTATTTTAAAACTGGTCTCAATTAGCCTTCCTTAAAAGTCACTATGTGGCTGGGTGGTGGTGGTGCACGCCTTTAATCCTAGCACTTGGGAGGCAGAGGCAGGCGGATTTCTGAGTTCGAGAGTTCGTTCGAGGCTAGCCTGGTCTACAGAGTGAGTTCCAGGACAGCCAGGGCTACACAGAGAAACCCTGTCTCAAAAAACCAAAAATGCCAGGCAGTGGTGGTGCACGCCTTTAATCCTAGCACTTGGGAGGCAGAGGCAGGTGGATTTCTGAGTTTGAGGCCAGCCTGGTCTACAGAGTGAGTTCCCGGACAGCCAGGACTACACAAGAAACCCTGTCTAAAAAAAAAAAAAAAAAAAAAAAAAAAAGTCACTATGTGGCCAAAGATGAGCTTGAATTCTTTCTGGTCCTGCCTCCACCATTTCAAGTGTTGGAATTATGGGTATGTGCCATCACTTCCGACTTACCATGTCTACTCTGCAGACAGTATAGTGTAGTATTTTGTTGGTTTTACATTTTATTTATCCTGTACGCATGTGTTGTCTATGAGGACATGCATAAGCCTCACTGAGAGTGTGGAGGTCAAAGGACCTGAGCTGGGATAGAACTCAGATTGTTAAACCTCTAGGCAGGCTCCTCCACTTGCTAAGACCACTCATTGAACCTTACATGTTTATTGTTTTGTTTACATAGCTTTCGTTTCAAACCCAAGACCACACACACTTTAGCCAAGTGCCCAGCCCTGTTCTATGCTATATTTCTAACGTATTTCTGGTTTTTTGCAACACATCACTTGAGGTCACCTGTATTTCTGGCTTTTTAATTAGGGGTGCTCATATTCAGGTAGGAGTGCTCCCTGAGTCTGAGCACTAAGTTGAGTAGAGGTCCACAACTGACTTTGATAACCAGAGTCCTTCTGCCCTTCCTGCTTCACCACAGAAAATTGACCCTGAGGTATCAGCCTTCCTGCAAAAGCTTCGAAGCAGAGTGCAGATCGGCGTGGTGGGTGGATCTGACTACTCTAAGATTGCCGAGCAGCTGGGTGATGGGGATGAAGGTAGGCCTGGGCAGCATCTTTTCCAGTTGGGGCAGGGTAGAAGGGGAGTGGAGCTGGGAGATGCTTGGGTACCGCTCCTGCTTCTGTGGGGCAGAAGAGGTGGAGGAGCAGCCAGAGAGCTTCACCCTGAACACTTACTGAATACCTGGTAGTAGTCAGGGACTGTGCTAGATTCTGGAGAAGCAGCTAGAGGCAGAGCAGGCAGCATCCTGCCATTAACCAGTGCACATTTTAATTTCTCCCTGCTGAGACTCAGCTTCTGTCTGTTTGTTTATCTTCTTCGTCTTTATTGACAGCATGGTTAACAGTGTCTAAGAATAGCCATGTATCAGTCTTATGGTCTTGCCTTAGGGGAGACATGATTGACGTACTTGTGTGTATATGCCTACATATGGAGGTCAGAGGAAAGCTTGCAAGAATCAATTCTCTCCTTTCACCATGTGGGTCTCAAGGATCAAACTCATGTTTTCAGACTGGTGGCAAGTGCCTTTGCCCACTGAGCCATCTCACTGCCCTTATTGGTGTTTGGAGACAGAGTTCCACCGTGGAGCTTTCTCTGGCCTGGCGCTCAGTCTGTAAACTTTGTTGGCTTTGAGTGGACAGTGTTCCTCCTGCCTTTGTCTTTGAGTACAGGCTCCACCCACCGCATGCAGCTTTCTGTTTTGAGACAGAACTTCACTGTGTATCTTAGTATTACAAGCTGAGGCTGACCTTGAGCTCATAGCCATCCTCCTGCTTCAGCCTCTTGGGTCTTGACATTATATATATGCACCGCCACATCTTATTTTAATGGTGAAAATTGAACACTGAAGTAATCTGGAAACCCTTTTCAGGGTCAGGAAGGCCCCCTCAATCTAGAAGCTTCCTTGAGTTTTCCCTTTTCTTCTCTCCTTTTTTAGTCACTACAAGTCCTAACTCTGTTTCCATCTGTCCCCACCACACACTGTACCCTTAGTTATACCATCTGCCAACCAGACATCCTGCGGGGCATCCTAACCATGCTCCCTGAGCCTCCCTGACTCCCGACTGATTCTTGAGGCACCCAGAGCTGGAGACTGCTGTGTAATCTCTGTGGTTAGAGACTGAGAAAGGAGCTGGAGCCTTCATGCCGGAGGGCTGAGGGAGCAGGTTGGAAATGGCGCCCTCTTCTGGGCATTCCTGGGAAGTCTTCCAGAAGAGGGAGCAGGATCTTGGAGAATGAGTAGATAGAGGGGTATCCCAGGCAGAAGGTCCTAGCTAAGCAGTGGGCTAGAGGAATGACTGGCTGGTGTAGGAACAAGTGAAGGTGCACAGGGAAAGAATGCTAAAAAAGCCGGTTTAGGGCGGAACAGATGGCAGTGCTTGCTCTGAGGGAACAGCTGGTCCTTGTTTCATGCTCTTTCTTTCTCTCCTGGTTTCTCCATGGGCCCCAAGTCATTGAGAAGTTTGATTATGTGTTTGCTGAGAATGGGACAGTGCAGTATAAACACGGACGGCTACTCTCCAAGCAGGTCAGTGTCCCCAAGGCTTGCCCCCAGGCCTTTTCCACACTGGGGTCCCACGAGGTCCCGCCATCTTGGATGTGCCACAGTTCGAGCCTTGTGTTCTTTACAACAGACGATCCAGAACCACCTTGGGGAGGAACTCCTACAGGACTTGATCAACTTCTGCCTCAGCTACATGGCTCTGCTCAGACTGCCCAAGAAGCGGTGAGCCCCCTGACCTGGACTCCAGGGAAGAGAGTGGGAGCTTTGGTTTTTTATTTTCAACAGGGGTTGGAGGTCAGGACCTTACTCATGCTAGGCAAGTGTTCTGCCTCTGAGCCACACCCCTACACCAAGACCCCAACTTATGAATGGGTGGATTCTCTTTGTAGTTTTTCAAGGTGGGGTTTCTGTGTAGCCCCTGGCTATCCTGGAACTTGTCCTGTGGATCAGGCTGGCCTTGAACTCAGAGATCTGCTTGCCTCTTGTCTCTGGAGTGCTGGGATTGAAAGAGTGTTCCAGCACCGCCCAGCAGATAGGTGGATTCTTTTTTTTTTTTTTTTTTTTTTTTTTTTTTTGGTTTTTCGAGACAGGGTTTCTCTGCATAGTCCTGGCTGTCCTGGAACTCACTCTGTAGACCAGGCTGGCCTCGAACTCAGAAATCCGCCTGTCTCTGCCTCCCAAGTGCTGGGATTAAAGGCGTGCGCCACCACCGCCCGGCAGATAGGTGGATTCTTATACCCTGTGAGGTCTAGGGAGACTATGGTTCTATATAGAACAGGTTTTGAAGTTAGAGCTGTTGTCCCCTCCTCTCTGTGGCGCCTTGCTCTCTCACCCGCTGTCTTCGTCACCCCTAGTGGAACCTTCATTGAGTTCCGGAATGGTATGCTAAACATCTCGCCTGTCGGCCGCAGCTGCACCCTGGAGGAGAGGATCGAGTTCTCGGAACTGGACAAGGTGCCGTTTGCTGAGCTGCTGTAGTCCCGTCACTCAGCCTCTCTGAGCTTTGCTTTCTCATCAGTAAAGTGGGTTTTGAGGAGGAGTTTCGGTTCAGACTTGGACACCTACTGTGTGTCATTTCTGTGGGCACATCAGTCTCTTTCTGTAACTGCTGATCTGCTTTCCCTGCTGGCCTATGCCACCGAGCCCCTGGTGACCCAAGCTATGGCCACATCACTATTGCACATACCTGTTCACACCAGATCCAACAACTCCAGGCTCCCTGTTCATAGGCCACCTTTTCTCCTCCGGGCTCCTTTGCTCTCTGTCACCTCTGCTTCCAGCATGCCTGTGAGAACCTTTAACACATCTGCCTTGTAAACACAGTCCTCCTGTGGCTCCCAGTGCTGGCTGGGCAGCCTCTCAGCCCCCTCCAACAGCCCTGAGGCCTCTCTCTGCTCTCCTTGGCTTTTTCCCCAGTCTTCTGTCTACAAAGGTTGTGTTTTCAGTCGCTCCTTGAACACAACGGGTTCTCTTAAATGCTGGCTTTTCTTTCATCTTGTTGGTATTCACCCAGGTTGTCCTTGAACTTGTGATCTTCCTCAGCTTTTCGTTTGCTGGGGGGTCACACGTGCATGCCACCTTATCCGCCGTATCCAGCTTACCCAGCCCCTCCCTGAACATTGCTGTGCATTTAGCTCACCCCCCTGACAGTCACCCTTTCAGGGGTGGTGAGTTCATCCATCCTCGCTTCCATGTGTCCGTCCTTGTTCTCACTCAGCTGGCTCCTCTTTCCTTACTCCCCATGGCAGCCATGGCTTCCGCTCATTCTACAGATGGCAGTTCACCACTTCATGGGCTCTTTGCCTGAAGCATACTACCCTAGACCGGGCTTGTCCTCTTCTCCACTCTGGCTGCTATGTCACCTGCCAGTGGGACCCTTCTATGTCCTGTGCAGAGGTCCATGGCACTGGGGATGGACCCCAGGCCCTCATATGCTAAGCAAGTGCCTTATTACTGACCCACAACACCACCCACTCCAAGAAACATTTTCTTTTTGAAACAGTGTCTTCTTGGTGTGCAGCCCAGACTGGCCTCAGAGTCACTGTGTCACCGTGCAGGCCTCAAACTTGTGGCTTCCTGTTCACTGCTATTATAGGTGTGTCCCACTGTGCCTACCTGCCATGAAATGCTTTTGAATGAATGAACAAACAGGTGTATTATTCTCATCCTATTGATGTGGAAACCAAGGCTCAGAGAAGTGACTCATCCAGGGTCACTTAGGAGGTTGGTTGCAAAATGTAGCTTTGATTTGGCTCCCTGCCTGCCCTCTGGTGTTTCCCTGAGAGTGGGCTGGTCACAACAAGGCCACTTGCACAGTGTACAGAGGCCTATAGGAGGCGGTGGACACAGGAATGGGGGACTTTTCCTGTTGTAGTTAAGGTTGATCACTGTCAGCCTCCCAGCCAGGTTCCCCATCCCAGCTCTATGTCCTGTCCACCCAGTGGGACCAGAAATGCAGCTTTGATGGAAGTGGAGAACAGATGCTGAGCCTGGCCTGGAGCAGGGATAGGGAGGTTGGGATACAGCTGGTGTCCCCTAACCCTCACCATGGCCTCAGCCCCTTCCTTTGTCTCTGCTTCTTTCTCATTTCCCTTCTGGGATTGAGATTCATGGATGTTGCTGTGAACTGTGACCCTGTACAGTCTTGATGGCATGTGAGTGCTTGAATCTCCGTAAAACTCCTGGGACAACTGGGACACCTCTTTAGATGAGGGCCCTCTTGATTAGCTCAGGGTTATTGTGATGGATATGTTAGGGCTGGAGTTGGCACATTTCCTGCCCACTCACCAGGTGCCCTGTTAGTGGTGGGAAGTGTATAGCCCCCTAACCCTGGGCTCTGAGCTATATTTTCTCAGAGTGTGGGTACCCACAGAGCTATCCCTGAGGTACACCCACCTGCTAGGAAGGCAAGATCAAGGCCAGCAAGGAGCTCACATCTCTCACCTCTGGTTTTAACTTGAGGGAGAAGCTGACAGTGGCCACTAATTACTTCTCTATCATTTAGTTTTGGCAGTGGGCTCAGAGAGGTTAGGTAATCGCCTAGGGCCACACAGTTAAGCAGTATTGCACCAGGCCTAGAGCCCAATTAGTCTGTACATTTATCTCAGGCCCTGCCTGACCTGACCCCCATGGCCTCCCACCTTCTTTTGCCTCCAAACCCCACTGACAAGGGTCATTGATTTCTGGATCTAGGCCTCAGCACTGCTGCTAGTGTGAGGTGACCTGTTTCCCCATCTGTAAAATTGGGGCCGTGTTCACCTAGGAGACAGGGAGCTGAGTGGGTTCTGGTCCTGGTGCACAGAAGGCCCTCTGATCCAGTGCGCACCCTTCCCTCTCCAGAAGGAGAAGATCCGGGAGAAGTTCGTGGAAGCCTTGAAGACAGAGTTTGCCGGCAAGGGGCTGAGGTTCTCCCGAGGTACGTACACCTTTCCTGAGGAGGGCCCAGGCACATTCTGGGACACCATTTACCTGTGGCAGTGTTGCTTGCCCTGTTCAGTCACACCCCTTAATGGTGGACTGTCCCGGCCCTTCCTGAGCTCAGGCCAACTGGCTAGGGAGTCAAGAGGCTCTGCAGTTGACTCACCTCACCCTTGCCACCAGGAGCTAGAGGGGAAGACAGATGCCATGGTCACTTAGAGCCTACAGTGTGTCACCTGCTGCTCACAGCCCCTTGTGTTGATTGTCCTACTGTGGCTTGTGTCCCCACTCACTGTCTCGTGGGTCTCACTGGCCATGTCTACTTTGGCTTGCTCCTGCCTGTTTCCTGCTTGCATGAGGCAGTACAGGTCCCAGGTCAACCCTCAGTGGCTCTCCGGATTGTATAATGAACAGAATACCTTAGAGATGGCCATGGTACCACGTGTCTGTAATCCCAGAGCTGACAGGTAGATAGGGGGAGGAAGAACAGGAATTCAGGGCTATCCTTGGCTACATTGGAAGTTCAAAGCCAAACCAGATACAGGAAACCCTGTCTCAAAAACACCCCCCCCACCCCGCTTTCCACAGGAGGCATGATAAGCTTTGACGTCTTCCCTGAGGGCTGGGATAAGCGCTACTGCCTGGACAGCCTGGATGAGGACAGCTTCGACATCATCCACTTCTTTGGGAATGAGACCAGTCCTGTGAGTGTGGCCCTGCCAAGTTCCCCTCAACCCAACTCCTGAGTCCAGGCCAGGACACAGAACAACAGAACAGACTTCTTAAGGGCCTCCCAGAAAACTCACTGTTCCCATTCTACAGTTAGGAAGATTGGGGCTCAAAGAAGGCTAGACACGTATACCCTGTCATACAGCAAGTTGGGACAGGTCTGACCAGCCTGGACTCCTGGCAGTTCTAAGGAGGGGAGGTCTGAGGAGCCAGTATGAGAAGGGTGGCTCTTGGGCCCCAGTCCTGGGCACCTCCTGCCTTGTAGACATCACCTAAGACCATGTCATCTCTGTTCTTCCTCTGAGTGCAGGGTGGGAATGACTTTGAGATCTATGCAGACCCCCGGACTGTCGGCCATAGCGTGGTCTCACCTCAGGACACTGTACAACGGTGCCGAGAGCTTTTCTTCCCAGAGACAGCCCACGAGGCATGACGGTGCCCACGATGGAGCATTGGAACCTTGACGAGGCTATGACGAGGCCTGAAGACAGACCCGTGGGGTGCCACACAGCCCATCCCACTGCAGGGTCACCTACACAGGACCAAGGTCTGTGTGGGAACTGTCCCCAGCCAGGTGGCTCCTGACGAGACACATCCCTGCACTCTACCCTGATGGCCCTGGCCTCTGATGCTGCTGCTTTTGGGGACAGAATAGGCTTTCCCACAGGGTGGCCTGTGAGTTCTGCTGTGGAGCCTGCTGACCACAGACTGACTGACAAGGGGCATTACTCAAAAGGATTTTGTCACAGATATTAAAGTTCCCAAGACAAGGTACGGTGTTAGCTCTATCTGAAGATAGGATGGTTCCTGTCACATGCCCTTAAAGCTATACTTTGAGGTTTGCCCCAGGACATCTTTGATCCATTGACCCACCAAACATGGTCGATATGCTGTGTCCTTCCTCAGCCCATTCCACAAGAACACTCATAAGGCAGCTCGGGGGCAGGGTGGGTCACAGCTGAGTTTATTGCCAGTGTTAGGAGGCTGGGGGTCCGAGGCTGGGGTCTGAGTGGGGAAGTTTCTGACTTGGCGCTGCAGGGCCCAAGAGTAGGGAGGAGGCCTGTTGTCCCTACCACTCAGGCAGCCTCGAGGTCATGACTGCTAAGGACCTGCTCACAACAGGGAGGCCAGGGTGGGCCTGGGGTTCACCTGAACCGACAAGTTCCTTGTCAAAGGATCTGCCTGTGTTGTAGCACACAGTGCTGGGTTACAGGCATGCTGGAGATTTGAACTCGGGTCCTCAAACTTGCTGAGGACCGTTCTCCAGGGACAAGCCTTGCTGGAGGAGCCTAGTTCACAGTGGGGTGTCAGACAGGTCCTTCCCAGGGTGGAGGACTGGTCAGAACTTGTTAGCAGCTCTAGGCTGCTGGCCTCTTTGCAAATGGTACTAGGACAAGTTGGGGTGCAAATGCCCCAAATGACTACCCTGTGGTCCTGGAACACTTACAAGGCCACCTAGACAACCACTGACCCCTTCATCCTGGTCATCTGTGCTCACATTTGACTTCTGGACTGGGTCTCATAAAGGTCACTATTGTGCCAGGCCCTTCGTGAGCCTGTGACCTCACTTATCCTCTGGTTATGTAATGGACTCTCTAGAAGGGATACATCTTAGCTCCAAAGGGACTCCAGGTAAGAGGGACAGTCACAGTTCGGGATGAACAAGATAAGAGCCACCTCAGCTGCTAACCTGTCAGGGGCTTATAAGAGCCATCGCATAATTCTAGGAAGAAAGTCTGATGGGGGGGGAAGCCCATGATCTCTCTGGCTGAGGACCATTCCTTTGAGTGCCTGGACCTGGCCTTGCCTGAGGTGACAGGTCAGTCCATCACTGCATCCTCAGCCGCTGTCATGGTCAGCACTGGGCAGAGCATCCATGGGGTTTGTGCATCCCGGGTAGAAGAGATGGTTCTGTCCAAGCATGCTGCAGGAAACCATGTCCTCACCTCACCTCAGGGAGTGAGTGAGCCTGGCTTCCCCAGCTCAGGAGGGATCTTAGCTCCATGGGGTTCAAAGAACATCTGCCAGCTGATGAGAGAGGACCGGCCTGACAAGAGGAGCACTTAAGTTCCCTCCTGCTTGCAGCCATGTTCTCTTCAGGGTACCAAATGGGTGGAGACAAGAAGATGGACTAGGTTATCTCAGGGACTGGCCATGAGCCTCCATGTTTTGCCCTCTCCCTCCCTAAAGGAGGCCCCTACAAAGCACTCAGAGGCCTGGCTTCTGAGAGGAAGGGTCCAGGCTGTGGTAGACACCCAGGTTCAGCACAGGAGACAGGAACACAAGCAGACAGGCCTGGGTACTGGAGACAGCAGTGCGGAACAGGCTCACGGGAGAGGGGTCTCCCTGGGTTCTCAAGAACATGACACAGACCCACAGAGACTCAGTATATAGATAATGGGCAAGAGGGTAAGAAGGTGTGTTTACGTGGCAGAGTTGGGAGGAAGGAGAGACAGGCCAAGGTGCGGCTGGTAGCTGCACTCCATCCAACCCTAGGCCGGATCATACAAGTCACGGGTGGAAGCACACATTCACAGCCACAAGCACAGACAGGTGGACAAACAAGCACACCCAAGGGCTGGTCAGCAGCACAGTGGGGGCACAGACCGGCTGCTGCCTGCCTCCTCATGGGGAGAGCCCCACCAGCCTAGGATCCCACAACCTGGCCAGACCATGTCTCGTGGGGGGTATGGGGAGCCAGCTGGGTGAGCACCACTTCCACAGCCTGAAACTTCTGGTTCTTGGGTGGGATGGGACACATCTTGTACGTCACCTCATCTCCTTCCACGGGCACGTACTCCCCCTCGATGCTGGCAGACAGAACGGGAAGGATCAGTTTGACATCAGTCCCCAGGTAGCTCCCAGCCTCCCTAAACCCGGGACCCACAGCCAGCTCTCAGCTGTAGTTTTCTAAGCCATGAAAGGGGAATCTGGATAGTTCTTCCCTCTGAGGGGACAGTGAAGCAGGTCTGGCTCTCAGGACTCCTGTGGCCTTAGCATAGGACCCCAGAGCCTCAGCAGGGATTATCAGGGTTCCTGCCTGACCCCAGCTCACCCCGTCCCAGCATCCCTCGGCAGGGCTAGTCAGCAGGAACGCACACCTCAGCAGCTAGGGGAGGGCTAAGGGAGAGTGGACACTGGGAGGACCTGTCCAGAAACAGGAAAGTAGAGGGGACTCACTCGGAAACATGCACGAAGATGTCCTCGGAGCCATTCTCGGGCGTGATGAAGCCATGGCCCTGCGAGCGTGAGAACTGCTTACAGACGCCCTTGAACACAGGGCCGGCCGAGGCTCGAGCTGTCCTGGGGATAGGGTGGAGGGATTGGAGCTGTGGTCTCGAGAGCCATTCCCAGGCCCCCAACAATACTGCCATTGGATAGATAACAGAGTGGGGCCCAGAGAGGGACACTAGCCTGGCCAGTGTCTCTCAGTGTGATACAAAGGTATCTCCTGGCTCCTTGTCCCTATCCCCCTAAACAGCACCCTCCATCCAGATGTTTAGCTTAAATGGGTTCCACTTGGACGACTTCTGAGTGGAGCCAGGGTGTAGCTCAGTGGTAGACGGAACGCCTGCCACGTGCCTCAGACTTAGTTCTTGGTACCAAAAACCAAGAGGCACCTCACTGTCTCCCATGGCAGTCTAGCACTGCAGGCCACTGTCCCCATGTACTGTTTACTAAGCATCTACTCTAGCTGTGGCTCAGACACAGGTCAATGTACACTTGCTATCCAGATCAGTAACAGAAACCTTGTAGCCAGGCACAGTAGTCCATGCCTGCAAACCCCAGCAGAATCACCACCAGCTCAGAGTCAGCCTGGGCTACATAACAAAGCCTTATCTCAATAAAACACAGGGGTGGTAAGCTGGCTCAGGGGGTAAAAGGACACTTGTTGCCAAGCCTGAACACCTGAGTTTGAACCCCAGAACCTACTCCTCAGAAGTTGTCCCCTGACCTCCACACACAGACTGTGGCATGTACACACACACACCATCAACAATAACAATAAATGTAAGACCTTTGGCTCCCACAAATCCTTCCCATCTGGCCTCACTCAGTTCCTCCAGAGGCCTATGGATGGTCCCTGGCAGTCCAGCCTTCCTTAAAGGGTAACTCTATGCTGTTCCACTTGTCACGCTGAAGTCCCTAGTGTTAGTGTTAGTATTATTTTAAGATGATCTCACTATGTATCTCTGGGACTCAAGTCCCTTCATCTGATGCATCTTTTTTTTTTTTTTTTTTCTTTTTTGGTTTTTCGAGACAGGGTTTCTCTGTGTAGCTCTGGCTGTTCTGGAGCTCACTCTGTAGACCAGGCTGGCCTCGAACTCAGAAATCCACCTGCCTCTGCCTCCCAAGTGCTGGGATTAAAGGCATGTGCCACCACCGCCTGGCTAAATTATTTATTTATTTTATATATATGAATACACTGTAGCTGTCTTCACACACACCAGAAGAGGGCATCAGATCCCATTACAGATGGTTGTGAGCCACCATGTGGTTGCTGGGAATTGAACTCAGGACCTCTGGAAGAGCAGTCAGTGCTCTTAACCACTCTCTCTAGCTCCCTCATCTGGCCCATCTTCAGACTCAGCTAGGACGTCCTAATTTACTGTCCCCAGGCTGTCCTTCCCTAGTATTCAAAACACCTGTGAGTAGTAGCCATGTCTTATCTGTCTTGAAGCCCCAGTCAGCTCTGTAAGAAGTGTTAAGTCTCAAACCCTGGGACAAATGGCTGAGGTGCCTATTGAACAGTAAGTTTTTGTGGGTTGAAGGAATAAGTGAAGGGCCACTGATGTCACTGGAAGGCCACACAGCTTCCTGGGAGGATGGCCTGGCTGGGACCTTGGGGAGGGGAAAGGACTCACGCTGAGTATGTCCTGGTCCGTTTGGTAGGCAGAGGACTGGGCAGGTCCCGAGGAGCGATGCCACCACCACGTTCCCAGATCCTACTGCCCTCCCTGTGGAAGGGGAAAGTGGGCCAGACGGGGGACTTGGGGGAGTGGAGAGGTGGCACCACTGGAGGTGATGTAGACTCTGATGTCATGGTGGGGCCAGCAGGAGAGCCTGGTGGGCTCTGGAGCACAGGGGCCGGTGAAGGACTCTGGTGTCCTTTTGGGCAGGGCCTGGCCTCGCCCTGCTCACTGGCCTCGCCAGCTATGGACTCCGTCTATAAAGAAGAGACAAACCCAGTTAAGCCCAGCCAGGGAACAGTTCGGGACACGAGACATAAGTTGAAGCCAGCCACTCCCAAAGACACTCACAGTCCCACCCTGCCTAGGTATCCTCACCAGTAAGACAAACTAATCAGATAGCTTAGCAGGTACGAGGCTTTGGCTTTAATCCCAAGCACCGAAACAAAACAAGGGAGTGTGGACACAGCTCAGCTGGAGGAATGTTTGTTTAAGTAGCCAATGCCACATAAAACCAGGCAGAGCCCAGTGGCACACACTTTGATCCCAGTGCTTGAGAGGCAGAGTCAGGGGGATCTCTGTGAGTTCGAGGCCTGCCTGGTCTAAGCTAGTTCTAAGACAACCAAGGCTACACACAGAGACCCTGTAACAAAACCAAACAAAAGCAAAAGAGAAACACACACACACACACAATCAAAGCAGTCTTGACAGTGCATGCCTGTAATAATCCCAGCACTCCATAGGTAGAAGGACAAGAACCAGAAGTTCAAGGTTATCCTGGATTCCAGGGGAAGTTTGAGGCCTGGTCACAAGACAAAACAGAGCCTGCTTTAGAATCCCTGAGTTCTTCCTGCTTGCAGTT